TGGCTAGGATCAAGAGAACAAATGATACCAAATGCTGGTGAGGATGTGGACAAAGGGGAATGCTCATTCACTGCTGGTGGGATTGCAAACTCGTGCAGCCTTTATGGAAAACAGTGTGGAGAACTCTCAAAAAACTAGAAATGAACCTACCACATGACCCGGTTATACCACTCCTTGGCATAAACCCAAAGGACTCATCCTATTGTAGAGACACTTGTACAACCATCTTTGTTGCTGCTCTTTTCACAATAGCTAAGAGATGGAAGCAACCTAAGTACCCCTCAATTGACGAGTGGCTAACAAAACTGTGGTATATTTACATGATGGCATTCTATTCAGCAGTAAAGAAAGATGAAATAATTACAGGTAAATGGATGCCTCTAGAAACTGTTATACTAAGTGAAGTAACACAGACTCAGAAAAACAAACGACATATGTTCTCCCTCATTTGTGGCTCCTAGCACCAAATCCTTTTAAATTCCATGTTCTTTTAATAAGATGATGCTATACAGCAGTCTCTTCTGCATGAAATAACTACCATCATCACGACTTCAGCTGTGCATAATAAACATCGTCACAATTAGACTTGTTGATGGTTGTGCTCCTTCATTAAAGGAGGGGCAAGCAAGGTCATTGAACCCTCACCGGAGTATCTAGCCACTCTTCTCAGCCAACTATATGTAATTTGGCCCTAATCACACATGGTCTCCTGGATTTGGGGAGGGCTAAAGTATATAACCTGGGGAAGGCTAGGAAGATCCATACTGAGTAAAGTCTTTCCAGTGTGCATACCCCCAGGTCATTCATATACTTCAGCAACGCCACAGTCATCTCTGTAAGTAAGCTCAGTAAATTCATTGGTTCCTCATTAAAACTTTAATCAAACATTGGTTTGACACTAGAATCTTAAAAGGGAATAAGCATTGCTTAGTGTCCCCAGGAAAAGAATTCTCACAAAAGATGGAAAATTTAGTTGTTAATGTTATTATGTCTCATAATTATTTAAAAAAAAAAGATGATGATGATGAAAGAAAAGAAAACGAGAATGCAGAAGATGTTAAAAGGGTATGGCAATGGAGATATTTCCCAAAATAGAAAAAATGAGAAAGCCTAAGAAAGTGATGACGGGCCGTGTAGGTTTGTTATGCTGCATAAAGGATGAGACAAAAATAATACACACATAATCTTAAATTTTCTAAGGTCATAGTTTAGCCAACTAGTTTAAGGAACAAAATATTTATTTAGTCAAGGTTTATCTGAAAACATTTGTTTTTTTACCCAAGCTTTATCTACATAGCACATGACAATTAAAAGCACCAGACTTGTGGAACTAACCTTCTTGGATGTTTAACAGCCATATTTTGAGGCCTATACTAATCTGGTCAGAGGGACTTAAAGGACAGCTTTTGCTCCTTGCCCTCCAAGATCAACTAAGTTCCAGGGGACTATGGAGCATCCCTCAAAACATCCTGTAATTTGTGAGTCACCTGTCCTCTTGTTCAGGGAGGCCATGGAGACCCCACCAGATGGACCTGAACCAGTATCCAGACTACAAAGATGAGGGTGAACTCAGAGGAAACATCTCATTCATGCTTCCAAGTGAAGACAGACATGGTCGAGCAGGACCTTTGAGTGATCTATACATAGAGAGAACTGGTAAAAGAAAGGAGCCACGGGCTCCTCCCAAGTCCATGTGACCCCTAAGAACAGATCTTCAAACAATCTTAAGTGTAAAAATAAACTGGTTTATTTGGGCCAACTCTATGGTCTTAAACACCCAAAAGGAAAGTATAGCCAAAGATTAAAGTGATATCTTTAAGAGTTTCAAGGGATTACACTTCTGAGACATTAGGCTTAAATTCATATAAAAAGTTATTTAGACAATTATTTCTCATTGATGATTTTGTTCTAAATCAGAAAGTGCTTCTCAGATGTAAGACTTCAAATCTTGGTCTCCAATACGTAGTGCCCACCTGTAGCTAAGGGAGACAACCAGCTATTGTTCTAAAATGATGGATAAATTTGTTTTCTCCCCTTATCTAGAAGCCTTTGTGAGGGAACTGACACTGATTCTAGCCATTCCAACAGCTATCAAAGTACCTGAAAAACAAATCCTGAGTCCACCACTACTGAGTCCAGCCTTGGCAGACAAAAGAAAAATGAGAAGGAACCCAACAGAGGGATGCTTTCGGAAGCTCTGGTCAAGAAGTTCCAATGGGCTCTCATATGAACATTTGAAAATTGCCCTGTTCTGACTTTTTTCTGGTTTCCTGTCTAGAACTTGCAATGCTAACTACTCTTGCCTTTACTTCTCCTTCACATCACCTAGGCACCAGTCAAGGACTTTCTTTTCTCTCTATGGTTAAGAGTTATGTAATTTGGGAGTCTTTTAAATAGACCCACTGAAGGGGTACCCCAATTGCCTCACCCTGCATCCCTGTTCAACATGGAAGAAGCCAGAGCAGAGCGGTCTGTGTCCCAATTCCCTATTAGCAATTTGGGTAACCTCTTTGGGGAATGGTATGATAAGAATAGGAGATAGGAATGGGCTAGGCAGTTAGGGTAAAAAGACCCCCCAAAAAAGTGGCCAGTTTCTTGGCTAAAAATCAAAATGTCTTTGGGCCTCTTAGCAACATACTCCATTCCAAAGGCCAAAACTGTCAGAAGTATTTGGGAACTCTTATCTAATTCCTAAAAGATTTTAGGGTTATCTTTCAGACGGGGGAATGTTAGAGTAGCAAAAAGCTCCATAAAAATAACACCTTGTATGCATGTATGAAATTCTCAATAAAAGGCATGAAAGTCCTTGGGGCTGACCACATCAGAACTTCATTCTTTTTTTTTTTTCTTCTTTTTTTCTTTTTTTTGAGACAGGGTCTCCCTGGGGCCCTAGCTGACCTGGAACTCATTATGTAGACCAGGCTGGCCTTGAACTCCACCTGCCTTTGCCTCTTCTGTGCTGGGATTAGAGGCATGTGCCATCACACCTGGCATGAGATTGGATTTAAATGCAAGAATCTAGACTCCTAAAAGAAGTGGTTCAGTAAGGATTAGAAAGCAAGATATTTCAGAAAGGAGATATCTTCAAAGATATTTAATTAGGCTCAGGCTCAGCAAGCACACAGGGAGTCTCCCAGTTATCAGACTTGAAGTACAAGAGAGACACAGGCAGTACAGCTTTGCACATGCTTCTCAAACTACAGCATGTTTAATACCAGGATACATTGTATGTATGGGAAACTAAGATGCATTTTCAAAATAACTTTATATTATGGATATATATATATATGTGTGCATAATTTATAGCATATATTTATTTACTTATTTTTTTATTTATTTATTTACTTATTTTATGTGTACGAATGCTTTGCCTACAAGCATGCAAGTGCACCACATGCATGCAATGCCTGTGGAGGCCAGAAGAGGGCGCCCTATATCCAGAAACAGGAGTTAGGGACAGCTGTTAGCCACCAGGTGGGTGTTGGGAATTTAACCCGGGTCCTCTACAAGAGCAGTCAGTGCTCTCCAGCGTCAACACGAATTATTTTTGACAGAAACTTTTTTTCTTTTAGCCCACAATACCCTTCCTTTTACATCTGTTAGGGTCATTTTGACTTTGTGTCACTGTAAGAGCGCTCAAGTATTACAGATAATGAGCCTAAGTCACTTTGTTAATTCAATAAAGTATTAAAGAGCTATTCTCCTCCCTGTATCACTCTTATTTAGCATAAGGCATAACCTACTATAATTATAACTATCTCAATTTGATGATTTGCGTTGACTGCAATCCTTAATAGCATTAGTATCTTCTTATGAATTCTACAAATTTGACTAGATATATTTTCTTAATTTATAAGAACTTTAATTTTTTCCAGTCTATTCATTTATTAAAATTAACTTTTCCAAAACAGACATTTGTGGGTTATCATGTCTGTGCTTGTATGTGACAGTGGAGAAAGAAACATAAAAGGGCAGTGCAACTCTATGGAACCTCACCAAACACAGTAGTTCATATCATTCAAAAGAGGCTAGATTCATTTTGCTAAGGCAGTATTCGTTTTTTTTTTTCAGGGCCTTTTTATTTAAGAGAGGTTAGTGTAAAACTCTTGATTAGATTTTATTGATTTAAATGGTTAGTATACAAATTAACCAATGTGTGTTCATTTATAGACTTTCACACTGAAAATAACAAGACAAGTATGGTTCTAAACCCTTTAGTTTATCTAATTCTTACAGCATTGTGTCTGATTTTTATAACACTGGGTAGGCATTCCTAGTCTTCATTTTATAAAGGAAGTTCCACTGGCAGAAACTGATTAAGTACCTTATTAAAATTCACACTGACCTTTTGGGCAAAGGTGGGATTTTAAGCACAAGAGTTTACCTCCCACGTTCAAGTGTCTAGCTCCTGAAGTCTACCCTATATAGCCAATGCTAAAACCACTTTCTAAGCGGTAAGAACAGATGTGAGAATGTAATTCAGGTACACCTAAAACCCTGACAACATGGACTTGATCATAATATACTTATCTTTTGGGAGCAGATTTCTAGAGTGTTGGATCATGCTTTCAAAGTGTAAGTGAAGATTATGAAGAAGGCAGCTGTTTGCCATGTTCAATTTTAAGTCATAGAGAACTACAGCTTCTGCTCACTTGTGGTTAAATTTATTCTAGTGTTTTAGCTCTCATTACTGACATGTACCATGTTTTCAGTCGTGATATTGTTGACAGTGTTATACACTGTCTTCTTTTAAGTACATGCATAAGGGAGAAGTTTCTTTCGTGCATGAAGATCTTTGAAGGCAAAACACTATGATGCATGTATTAACCTTATGTTAGCTTTTCTTAATCTAAGTGTTCGTTTTACCCCATTTTCATACTCACATCTTTGTTATTTACCTGGTTAAAAAAATAACCTTAGTAGTTTAGTTTATTTTGATTCATTTACCCTCATATTTCTGAGGCAGAAATGACTGATTCTGGCAGGCAGTGGGTACTCACTTTCGCTGAAGCAGAAGGCAGTAATCAACTATGACTGGCACCATTTCCTGTAAGAGAACCATAAAGAGAGCATCAGTCCATATCCTGATCCCTGGCTCATCCAGAAGGAGAGCATCAGCCTGTAACCTGATCTCTGGCCCACTGATAATGGCAAAAGTCTGCTTTTAAGATGCTCTGTGATCACTGGGATGATATAACTTTAGACCATGCTACTGGCAAGCAAGTTGACCCAGTGTACCAAAAGTTTTAAGAATTTAAAACACTCTGATCCAGTAATTCCATTTCTGGGGGAAATTTTTTAATGTATTTAGATATTTGCTGAAGCACGCAACAGAAAAAAACAGAAGAAGGGAAGGATGAGGGAACAAAGCAGAAAGAAATTGAATGAAATTCAATATACAACGTGAGAAAATAGTCAATTATGCTATTTAAAGTATGCATATAGAACAAGCTTACTAAAAGACATTAAAACAAATAATAGTTTAAAATATATGTTTATCTCAGAACTTTGTAAAGAAAATTTACAAAGAAGAAAATATATCAAATAGATAATATATTTAGTCCTGTGGTGCTTCAGTTACAGTTACCCATACTTTTGTCATGATGTTCAGAACTAAGTATTTTATAGTTCATTTTGATTTAACTTTTTAGTTTCATAATATTTCAATGGATTCAAACTCATCATGTATGGTCTCTACCAAGTAAATGGAAACTCATAACTTTGGCCTTTTTCCAAATAAAGTAGTTGAGGGAGAAATAGTAGCTTGTTATGACCAGAAGTTGTCAGTAAGCAAGCCGCAGTTTTCAATGGTGCTCTTTCATTTTCTGTTCGTATCATAGGACGGCCTAGATACATGACAGAAACAGAATCCCATCAGTGCTAAAGAGAACTACACAAAAATGGGAACACTATGTTCTGACTGAACAAAGAGTCAAAACCAGGAATCCATCTTCCTACCTCAGAGTAAGACTCTAAAAAGAACCTGCAATCCTGAAAGGATTACAAGAGCTACCCTTGACCCAACCTGCTTTGTCATCAATACGAAATCAGGCTAGATGCCCATCAACAGATGAATGGATAATGAAAATGTGGTACATATACACGATGGGATTTTATTCAGCTGTAGAGAAAAATGAATTTTTTAGGAAAAGGGATGGATCTTGTAATTATTATACTAAATGAGGTACTATAAACTTGGAAAGATAAAAACTGCACATTCTCATTTACATGCAGATCTTGGCTTTTAACTTTTATATATGTGTATTTATGTGGGAATGACTTTGTATACAAGTCAAAACTAGAAAGGGGACTAGAAAGTGAGAGTGGAAAGAGGTGTTAAGGAAGGGGAGGGGAGGGCAACAGGACGCCTGTGACACAAAAGTGGAAGGGTACTACTGGAGGGGAAATGGGACAAGAAGTAGGGAGGAAGATCAAAAAACCAAATATGTATCAAAATGCCATAATGAGACCTTTACACTAGCTAAGAAATGAATTTTTAAAATAAAACAGTTTAAAAGCCAGAGAAAAATGGGATATTAACAGTCTACAAAGAACTCAGATAAGATTAGGACTACAGAGAATTACAGGCAGTTATACAGGACTCATCATACCAAACTTGAGAATTCTAGAGAATTTAGCCTCTAGTAACAATGGGAAGTCCATAAAACATTTGTATTTGTCCTTCATTTTAAAATCAAGGAAGCATCTTACCTAAACTCAATACGCTCAATATGGATCGGAGAAGCAGAATGCAAAATAAACAAGGTATGCAAGGACAAGAACCTCTTGACTTGCTTTAGGTGTGTTCACTCACTAAAATCCAGATTATCAGAAAAGCATTGCAAAGGAAAAATTTCTAAGTTTGAGGTACAAAGAACAGAAATACAAAAATAAATGGGAAACTAATAGACAGTCATTTGTCTGCATGGTCCAGGCAGAGAATATAAAGCATGATTCTCAAACTTTAATATGTTTAGGAATCATGTTGGAGACTGTCATGGCTGGCTTTGGTTGTCACCTTGACACCACTGGGAAGAAGGGTCCTGTATTGGGGAATTACCTCTATCAGACTGGTCTGTGGGCATGTCTCTGAGGCATTTTCTTATTTGTTGAATGATGTGGAAGGGTCCAGCTGACTGTGAAGGGTGCTACTACTGGGCATGTGGTCTTGGGTTGTATAAGAAAGCAGGCTGAGAACAGGTCAGAATTCTCCCATGGTCCATGCTGCAGCCTCTGCCTCCAGGTTCTTGCCTTGAATGCCTGCCCTGACTTTCCTCAATGCTGAACTGTGACATGGAAGTATAAGCCAAACAAACTCTTTCCTCCTCGAGTTACTTTTGGCCAGTGTTTTATCATAGAAATAGAAAGCAAAATGGCACAGGGGTTGATTACAAATCCTGGCCACCAATCCCAGAGAGTCTGATTCAGTAGACAAGGGAACTAACTCAAGAAAAAGCATTTTTAACAAATATACACAAATGACTTTAAAGCAAATGGTAGTCAGAAATCTTGAGAAACACTGGGAAAAGTAGAATAGCATTGTAAAGAAGTCTCAGATTTGCTAAATAGAAGATAAGAAAGAAAAGCAAATAAAGCAAGTCAATAAGCAGCTAGCTAGAGAAGAGGAAAACTAGAAAGTAGGACATCAGAGAGGCCAAGGAGACAGGCTGTTTCAACAAGTCATTAATGTATTGAATGCTGCTGAGGGCCAATAAGATGGGGACACAAAGAGTCCACAGAATGCACTGACACAGGATAGGTTAGAGAATGAGAGTGGAGAGCAATGTAGACAATTCCAACAAAATGCCTGGCTCTGTAAAGAAGTGTGAGTAAGAGGCATAAGGATATAAATAGCTTGGGACAAAGAAAGGATTTGTTTGCTGATTGACTTTGCTTACAGAAGGAAAATATTGAACACATAGAAATGCAGATGAGGCAAAACTAGAATAGGTGAGTCTCAAGATATGAAACAAAGATTATTTTAATACCCTTTATCCTACTAGTTATTACACAGTAAATATGGTACTTTGAATGAGCAATGTTCCCCCACAGGCTCATGTACTTGAACACCTAGTCCCCATTGGTGGTGCTGTTTGGGGAGGTTATGGAACCTTTAGGAGGTGGAGCCTTGCTGAGGGAAGCATGTCACTGAGGGTGGCTTTGGGAGTTTATAACCTCATCCCATTTTCTGCTCTGCCTCTCTTGCTTCCTGTGTACAGATAAAATGTGATCAGCCAGCTTCCTGCTGCTACCATCATGCCACACCTTCGTCCCCATTATGAACTCTTTCGCTTTGGAATCATAAACTAAAATAAAACACTTTAAAGTTACTGTCTATAAGACAGAATAAATGCTGACTGGCCCATGGAAGAAGAACTACTGAACAGCATTTCATACTGTGACTCTAAGACACAGGCAAGGCTCCTGGAAGAAGGTGTGGGGTGCCACCTCCTGGTGGAACAAAAATTCTCATTATTTTGACATTTCAACTAGTTCAGAGTTTATTTTTCTGTTTCCAGTAACAGCTTTATTTTATTTACTTAATTTTGTAGCAAGGCCTCACTCTGTGACCCAGACTTGCCTTAGACTTATGATTTTTCTGCCTCATACTCTTGAGTACTAGGATTAAAGGTGTACACAACAATGCCCAGCTTCTACTAATACCTTCTGGACACTGACACAAACTCTCAAATTTTCCCATCCAGCAAAAGAAGTCTTTTAAAAATACTGTCCCTGTATGGATGAAGTCACTCCCAGAACATAAAGTTATCAATGAAAATGCTAGGGGTTTGGGGAGATAGTTAATTGGTAAAGTGCTTGCTGTATAAACTTGAGAACTAAAAACAATGGCCAGCACCCATGAAAAAGCTGAGCAGGGTACTTCCTTACCACTTGTTAGCCACAGAGGCCCCTTTGGTCCCCAAAACAATGGAGGCTATTGCCACTGCCGTTGAGTGCCCCTGGAACTAGATGGTAAGACCCACTGTGAAAGACACCACATGCTTTGGCTCCAGGACAGAGAAATCAAACTGGAACTGAGCTGGAAGCTTCCTCCCTGCTGGCTAGCATTTCAGGGTGCTAGAATGTGTGCTATGCAGGCTGCTGAGGGAGAATTGTCATTAATGGTCCTACTTGGTAGGAGGCCCTGCAAGTTATATTAGAGACTAGCCAGGTAAGATGTGCCCACTACCTGCTAGTGCAATATGTGGTTAATATGTAACAGCAAGATGTCATGGGGTTAACTAACTTTTTTCTGATTGGATCTGAGACCTGCTCTGCAAGACGGAAGTCACTTCTGGTATGGTAAATGTGGCTTAAAAAAAATAAGTCTGGCCAGGCGTGGTGGCGCACGCCTTTAATCCGAGCACTCGGGAGGCAGAGACAGGCAGATCTCTGTGAGTTCAAGGCCAGCCTGGTCTACATAGTGAGTTCCAGGCCAGCTGGGACTACAGGGAGACCCTGTCTCAAAAAGACCAAAATAAAAGGTCTGTGACTGAGGAAGTCACAGACACCCTTAAGCTGCTAGTGTTGTTCTGCTAACTGGATATGATATGGCTGTCAAATATTTATGTCTATGCCCATAAGTTAGTGCTGATCTCAGCCTTCGTGAAAGAAGGTTCTTCTTGCAGAGTGGTGGTTACTGCAGATACTTGTAACTGGTTTAAGTGCTGAGAAAAGTGACTGTTGAATACTCAGCCCTAAATGGGACATCTGTATGACATGCTCCAATGTTCAGGGAATGCCACAGAAGAGGAACAGTAAGAATATAAGAGCTAGAGGAAGAGGTGGAGTGCTTCCAAATGCTTCCATCATGGCATGGACTCTTCAGCTCTAGCACTGGGATTACCTACACAAGACCTGCACAAGATTTGGCCTATCAACATCTATCGTGGCATGAACAAGGACTCAGGAGAGACTCATAAATCCTCCCCCTGAGGATTTATGGGCAGTTAACTCATTGCTGAGGGGAGGGGCTCACAAGGCTCCAATCCCTTCTGAGGATCTATAGGCAGTTAGTTAATGGTTGCTTGGGGAGGGAGAGACATTTTTCAAAAGTGTAGCAACTGTTAAGTTGCCCATGCTCCTGTAAATAATTCCTCAACCATGCTCCTGAAAGCAATCCTAATAAGACACAAAAGGCGGGGAGGAGGGGGCGGAGGAAAGGGAACGGGAAGGAAAAGGAAAAGGAAAAGAGAAGAGACAAGACATGATAGTAGAAGGGGGACTGGCAAGATCGCTCAGGAGTCAAGAGCACCAGCTGCTCTTGCAGAGGACCCAGATTCAATTCCCAGCACCCATGGCTAACAACCATCCATAACTCCAGTTCCAGGGGATCCAACCCCCTTTTCTGATCTCCACAGGCATTTCATGACACAGATGCACTCACACACATGCAGGCAATACACTCACACACATAAAATAAGAGAGTAGAAAGGGGACTAACTGAGAAGAGGAAAGAGATGAGCAGGAAGGGAAGGGAAACAAGAGAGGGTAATCGGGTGAATATAATCAAATACATTATATACACTTATGAAAATACCACTAAATTCAATAGTGTATAATTAAGATGTGATAATTAAAAACTTTAAAAGAATATGTTTCTCCTTGTTAGTTGCCATCATCCAAGAACTATCACATTATCAGTAGCTCATTTTAAACTGAAATATCCCATCTCCTAATCAGTCTCTGCTCTCTCCTCTCCAGTCCCCTGTCCTTCCCCACCATCCCCCATCTCTCTCATCTTATTAGAAAGCAAGGCTAGCCTCAAACTCACTAGGTAACTCAGGTTAGTCTTGAACTGGCTCTCCTCGGGTCTGTTTGTTAAATGCTGGGGTTATAGGCCACGTTTCACCACACTCAGCACCTCCTCCTGAATTCTACATTTACACTAGCCTTCCCTCTGCAGCAGCACAGTAAAGTCATTAGAGTAGCCTTTCATCATCTATAAACAGCAGGTTATTTCCTCCCATCTTTGGAAGATCCAATATTACTGTATTATTATTGTTATTGTTATTGTTATTATTATTATTATGCTTTTAAAACCTTCCACTAGGGTCTGGAGAGATGCTCAGCAGTGAAGGTCACTGGCTGCTCTTGCAGAGGACTGGGGTTCAGTTCCTAGCACCCACATGGCAACTAACAACCACCCATAAGTCCAGCTCCAGGGAATTCAAAACGCTCTTCTGGCCTCCACGGGCATTGCATGCACATGGTGCATTTACATACATGCAGGCAAAACACCCATACGCATAAAATAAAATTAATTAATTGAAACTTTGAAAAAAGCAAAATTTCATTAGCCCAGTTGTGTATCTTACTCTGTCAATAGCTCATGAAATGCCTTAGGGAACAAGTGGTATTACTACATCCTTTATCTAGGTTTAACACACTGGTGGCTCATATTAAGTTTACAGTCAACTAAAATCCTATCTAGGAGACTCTTTGTCCAGCTCAGCTGCCTGCAATTCATGCGGGAGCTCCAGGACTGCAGCTGGGGTGAGCCCTTCACTGATGCAGCTGCTTTTGAGTCATTCATGCTCCTAGAAGGTTTTCTTGAATAAAATAGTGCACTATGACGTCTGAATAAGATGGCAGCTTAGAAGTCACACCAGAGAAAGTGGCTAATTATAGTTAGGGAAACCAAAGGAACAGGAATGCCGTATCACTCAGCCAGTGGTGTCTCCAGACTCCACTATTCGCTTGCTTACTACCCCAAGAATTTCACTGGCAATCAGATTCATGGCTACCACTATCTCGACTGCTAGGACACCAGCAGACCAGTCTTAAAGGCCTTATCAAGGAAATTCTACAAGCTGTATCACTAGGGATCTTACATAAGATGGCCCCTGTCGACTGTTGCTCCAAGAATGCCAAAGGCACACCAAAGGAGAACCTGGAAACTGTGTCTTGGAAGGAAACACAAGCACCAAACAGTGTTTCAGCCACCACACAATCGCCCACTCAGTGTGACCACAGCAACAGTGACTGGCTGGAGGGATTCCAGCTTCCGAAGATAGTCAATTATCTGCGCTAGTAACCTTCACACAGGTATGCTCTAGGAACCCACAAAGGAAGAGCTTGATGGGTGAAGAACAACATGGAGCAGGTCTCGGGGGGAGGGGGCACAGAGAAACAACTTGAGCTCACAGCGGCAAGATGAAATTCAATGATCAAATTCAGTTGACCAGTTGGTTTTAACATCCTCTGTCTTCACCAGGCTCTGCTCCCCCTAGAGCTTCCCTCTTTATATAAAACCCAAGGCCAATTCAGCAAGCCAGCCTGGTCCCCCACTGCTCTCATCTTATATGGTTTTCTTTCCTCTGTACTTTTTTCTTTTTCTATTTCTCCTCCCAAAGAACAGACCAAACCAAGGAGCAAGTTGGAAAAAAAAAGAAAAGAGTTCGTTCTTTGAAAAGATAAAAAAGATTGATACACTTTATCCAAATTAACCAAAAGAAAGAGATAAAAGACCCAATTAATAAAATAAGAGACAGAAAGGAAGACATGAAATTCATAAAATCATAAGTATATACATCTAAAGATCTACGTTCCACAAAACCAGAAAATCTCAAAGAAATGGATGCATTTTTAGATGCATATGATCTACTAAAGTTAAATCAAGGTGAGATTAAATAAACAGATCTATAATGAGCAACAAGATGGGAACTGCAATAAAAAAGCCCACTCCAAATTACAGAATTCCACCAGATCTTTAAAAAATATCAGTACTTCTCCAATTATTCTGAAAAACAAAACAGGAAAGAATACTTTTAAATTATTTTTTATTTTTTAAAAATATTTTATTTACATGTATGGGTATAATGCACATATGTAAGTGCACCTGCGTCATAGTGAAGGTCAGACGAGGGCACCATATCCCCTGGAACTGGAGTTACCGATGGTTGTTAGCCACCATGTGGGTGCTGGGAACTGAATCTAGTTGCTCTGCTAGTGCTCTTAACCACTGAGCTGTCTCTCTAGCACCTCAAACCCCTTTTAAAAAGTCAAGTTTTGCCATCAAAACTAAAGACAGAACAACAAAAAAAAGAAAATTATAGATCAATCTCTCTAAGGAACATTGCAAACTGAATTCAAGAACACATCAAAAAGATTATCTACCACAATCAAGTTGGCTTTATGGTTCAATGTGTAAATCAATAAATATATTCACTGAATAAATATATTCAAGGACAGAAATCATATGATCATTTCAATAGATGCAGAAAACACTTTGGGAAAATCCAACATCCTCTTCATGATAAAAGCCATGAGACATTAGGGTAGGGATGGATGGAACACATCACAACATAATAAAGGCTACATACAACAAACACACAGCTAAAATCATGGAGAAAAACTCAAAACGTTCCCATTACTTCCCTTTTCCCCTTCATATTACTGTGCTTTACCGTCCCCTCCCTTATAACCCTCCCCCTTTCTTTCTGTGATGTGGTTTCCTCTCGTTATTTATTTCATAATTTTATCAGAACTCATTTATCCTATTCGACTGATAATGTAATAAGCCCTCTGTCAAGTAGAGACAGAAGCAACACTGAACAGTGAAGCTTAGGAAACAAGTGTTCTTCTCATACCATTCAGTTCACCTAGTTCCTTAGAAAAGTTTGCTCTACTCATACCAGACACTCAGATATTTACTAAAAGAGGATTTAGATTGCACTAGTAATGTAGCTCAGGCCCTAGATTGGATACCCACTGACACAGAGAAAAGGAGAAAAGGTGGGGGAGAAGTGGGAATAGAGGAAACCTACAGCCGCAAGGATTTGTTGCAAATAGATTTGCAACAAACAACTGGAGATCTCTGCAAAAAGGAAAACCTGCATAATAAACGCGCATATTTTAAACTGTTCCTTAGCTCTGATTTTCATTAAATTTCAAAACAAACTAAACATGTTTCATTAGCATATTCTGTAGAATATAATATATATATAAATGAAACAAACATTCAAAGGTCAGTAAGTCTATAGTATAAGGAGTTAATTTCATGGACAAAGAAATAAAGAAAACCCAGGCTCATCTCTTATATTGACTTGATAACAGATACACACATACACATATACAGAGAGAGAGAGAGAGAGAGAGAGAGAGAGATTTCTTGAGTCACAGGAGCTCTAAGGAGAACTAAATTTAAACCTTAGCAGTGCATTCTTTACTACTCTACTTAGCATAAATGTTAGTCATTAGCAAGGTATCATCCACAGTAAGGTGTCAGTCAAGTCACAAGTGTGTGACTTCATAACACACATTCTTTCCTTTTACACAGCACTGAGCAGCTAAGAACTGAGCGACTCAACATCAGTTTACTTATCTGTTCCCATGACTACATACTTCTTCAAAATTTAGTCTTGTACAATTTCCCTATAAACACTAAAACAAAGCATTAATACTAAATGCTGCTTAATAACTAAAACATGCAGGTCATATTCTAAAGCAGTATAAAAGAGCAGTGCTGGACCTATCTGAAGATGGTTTATTAGAAGCACAGGCAAAGGCAGACCTGAAAGTGTTGTTCCATCACTTGGATTTTTCCCTGGTCTGGGCACTTTTTCAGAGCTCGATCTGCATAATAGAACAGGATTTCTATCATCTGTAAGAAAAATAGCTTTGCATCAAAATCAAAGTACACCTCTAAATTTTTTAAATATTTAATATTGCATAGCACGGTTCTCCTACCCAATACTGAATCGTGCTTTATTATTATATTAAAAATATAATTAGAACTTTATTGGCTTTATTCCCTAAGCTGTTTTTAATGACAGCCTAATTTCTTTCAGCCTTAGGGCTAGTACTAATTTTCTAATCTTTCCTAAGAAATTTCTGTATGTTCCAGACCTCAGAAGTATTCTATATCTCAGGCAATGAAAAGCTTCAGTCATCTGCTGCTGCAGATCTTTCTCTACACAGCCAGGATGGACGGGTTAGTCACGAACCCAGGTGCCCAGGTATTCCTTCTCTTGGCCACTCTTTTGACTACTGTGATGTTTCATTATCTTTATAAGAGAGTGAAGGAGAAGAGTTAAGAAGGAAATTTTAAAAGCATTTGAGATCATATCTACAAATTATAGCCTGGCCCAGTTCTCTCCTCGAGTATAGCCATTTGCCTAATCATGTCCAAAGATATTTGAAAATATAAAAAGCAAAGCTATACTGCACCCTAGTGAAGGCCCCATTAAAACACTTACCCGATCTGCAACAACGGACTTTCTCTTACTGACATCTCCTGATAACCCTTCAGAGAAACAAAGTCCAATAGGAAACAAAAGTTAGTCTCATCTTCAGAAGTGACCCTGGGTTCTGGTCTTTACTTTACAACCTATGCTAACAGCAGACACAATTACAACAAGCCTCAATATAAAAATGTTGGATAAGGGGCTGGAGAGATGGCTTGGCAGTTAAGAACACTGGTTGTTTTTGCAGAAGACCCAGGTTCGAATCCCAACATGCACATGGCAGCTAACAACTGTCTGTGACTCCAGTCGGAGGGTATCCGACAGCCTCTTCTGACCTCCGTGGGCTTTGCACGACATGGGTGCATTTACCTACATGCAGGCAATACACACGTACACATAAAATAAAAATAGTAAATAAATTTTCTTAAATGTTGGATAACAGTAATACCTCACACCTCAGACCTACAGTTTATCAATGTACATCTCTTTTGCTCTCACAGTAAATTTTCCTTATGAAAAAAATTCTTTAAAATGTCATGTCTACTTCTACGCCCGTATTTATTCACTTACCCACTACTGCTTTTGCTTTTCCTTCATGGAAAGACCATGCAAGAGCCAAGGCTTCTGTAAGACAATCTTGTTTCAGGAGATGATCCATTCTCTAAAATGAATAAAGGAGAGATGCCAGATCCTTTTGTCTGACCAACTACCAGTTTGTAATTCTATCTACAATCTTTACAGAATTTGCTGCTTAGGAGCTAAAATTATTTCAGTATAGCATGGAAACATTTCAATGTAGGATTTCCTCTGCAGGATTATCAGGGGATGCCAGTCAATATCTTATTTCTAAGAAAAATAACTTCTTTAAGCACTAGATAACATAACAATCACTAGGCTCTGTAGACCAACACTGTAAATATGAATGAAAAGGGGAGAAACAACAGGAACAGCAGAAAAGCCTGGCTGCTTATCATAGTACTCACTTACCCTTCTTAGTTAACAAACTCTGAACTCACTACAGGCAGCAATACACCAGTTAGAGAAACTTTTTAAGGCTCCCTTATAACTACTTGGGGCAATCTAATTAAATTCTGGTCAACAGTAAGTGGAAGTGCCATTTGGTATTTCTGTATATCATTTTAAAAAGTTGAGGCTGGCCTTTATTTTCTCTTTATTCCTTCACAGACAGTAGACTTGGGAGAGCCAGAGTCTTGAGCAACTACACTGGATTAGAAAGAGTGATTGAGGCTAGAATTCAAACACAAAGACGTTAGTGTAGGGTAGTATCTTAAGACCCTCAAGTTCCCATACTAGCTACAGATGGCCTATCTCTAGATTGCTCTCAAATGGAGGTAAAAGTTTATTGAAGCCACTATTATTTTGGTTTTCCTGAATACACAGACTCAGACCCAATTCTAATTGATATCATTAGTTTTAGCAAATCAAGTACTTAACAGTTCTAACGTATTTATATCAACTTCTGAAATTAAGAAGTACAAGTCCAAATTATCTTCTGCAAAGTCAAAACAAAATACAAAACTACTATTATTTCAATTCTGACATATACAATTACTTTCAAACTCACTTCTCTCCAGCTCCTCAGCATCATCACATAAACAGACTAGAAAATAAAAGAAGGAAATTAAAGTGATTTTAACAGACTTTCTTAGAGACACATTCATTCCAGTCTCATGTCTCATTTTAGATTTCATATTACAAGATGAAAACATGGAATTTACTAAAGGGTCTTCAAGCACCTACAACAAAGAGTAAATGAAACAAACATTCAAAGGCCAGTAAGTCTATAGTCTGAGGAGTCAATTCATGGGCAAAGAAATAAGGAAAACCTAAGTTCATCTCCTTTATTGACCTGGCAATATTTTGGTTGAATTTTAAAAATAAAGAAATGTTTTCTACTTTATGTTGAAAAATAAAGCACAGGAATAAACTTGTAGAAAGTTCTAATTCCAATTATTCTAAGTCAGATACTCAATGCATTTTAGTATATCTTAAGTTGATCTAAGCTAAAAGACCATCTTATAATTTAACAACAAATATATACAGTTAAATACCCTCCTGGTTGTGATGGTTAGTGTCAACTGTCAACCTGACAGGATCTAGAATCACCTGGGAGATGGGCGTACTGGGCATGTCTGTGGGGGATTATCTTGATTACATTAACTGATGTAAGGGGACCCATTTTAATTGTGAATGAAACATTCCTAGGGCAGAGGATCCTGGACTCTATAAATGGAGAAAGGGAACTGAGTAGCAGAATATGTTTATTCACTGTTTCCTGATGCTGAATACAATGTGACCAGCTGTTTCAACCTCTTGTGGCCTTGACCTCCCTTCAAACTACTGTGAGCAAAATAAACCCTTTCCCCCTTAAGCTGCTTTTATCAGAGTATTTTATCTCAGAAGCAGGAAAAGAAACTAAGACACTGGTCATGAAAACAAATAGTAATGAGTTATAAAAGAATATCCCTGAATCAAGAAAATAAGCATTCTACCAGAGCTAAACAAAAACAAAATTGCACGTAAAGTGGAAAAAAAGTTAAACAACTAAAAATGATGATGTGGTGGTTTGAATATGAACTATCCCCTAGGGCCTCAGTTATCTGAACATTCGGTCACCCTAGTTGGTGGTGCTATTTGGGGAGGTCATGGAACCTTTAGTAGATAGATGGTCTTGATGGAGGAAGCATTCACGGGTTTTGGGAGAGTTCAAAGCCTTGCCCCACTTTCTTTTCACTCTCTTTGCTTCCCGGGTGTGAATGGAGATGTGAGCTCTCAGCTTCCTGCTCCTGCCACCGTGCCTCTCCGACCATTATGGAGTCTCCCTTTGAAACCATGAGTCAAAATACACTCTTTCTTCTATAAGTTACCTTGATGGTGTATTATATCACAACAGAAAAGTAACTAACACAGATGACTATTTTAAATTTTGGATCAATGTTAATCAGAATTCACTTTGGAGTACATGCCCTCTTTACCAACAATCTTCTTCCTTAATTGTCCTGATAACCTACAAAACACAGAGTGAAAAGAGCTTACTTTTGTCCCCAAGTAGAAGATCTGGCCACCATAACTACTGATGGATTGATAACAAGCCTTCTCTCCAACCAAAGCCTACAAAAAGAAACAAACAAGGTAAGATTACATGCATTAGAAGTTTCATTAAGAATGTGGAATACAGGGCCTTCAATAACTCAGCACTTGCTGAGCACTTGCTGCACAAGCCTGACAACCTGCTTTAGATCCCTAGAATCCATGGAAGGAAAGAACTGACTCCAAAAGTTGTCTTTTACCTCCACACATATACTGTACCACACATGCACATGTGTATGCACGTACACACACTAATAATAATAAATATAATTTTTAAATAAAGAATGTCAAATACCAAGGCATTTTAGGTTAATATAGTTTCATCCTGTAAGCAAGTAAGGAAAAATTATGTTGCTAGTAAAAGTGACAGAAAAGAAAATGTTCAAGAAGCAATTCTGTTTCTAGACACAGTCTATTCACTGCTCAGAATAATGTGGAAAGGGGAGGAAACACTTTATCTTAACCCTTTGCTCATTTGTATCATTTCTTCTTTTAATCTCCTTTAAATTGTTTGTTCGTTTTTATTTCCTAAAGTAGAAGCTTAAATCACTGATTTGATTCCTTCACTTATATATTATAAATCACTTTCAAAGCCTGGTTAAAGGCTTAGAGGACAGTTCTGTAGCACAGCTCTTTCCTAAGCCACAGCTCAGAAAATCTGAGGACTAGAAGCTAAGCTAGAAACAAAGCTCATATCATTTGTTCCCTGCTTGGGCCAGGATTGCTATTCATCATTACTGATGTCCAATGCCTTGATAACTGTCTAATTTTTCCTCATTATTATTATTATTACCAATTTTTTTTATTATTTTAGGCAGGAAAGTAAATCTAACACCCCACTACTCCATCTTGGCTAAAAGTCCAAGTTCAAAGTCTGATAGTGTTTTTAATTTTTTTGATTTATTTATTTTTATTTTATGTGTATGAATATTTTATGCATTTGCCTGCATGTATGTAAGTGCACCACATGTATGCAGTGCACTCAGAGACCAGAAAAGAATATCAAATCCCCCGGAACTGGAGTTACAGAGAGTTGTCAGCCTCCATGTGGCTGCTAGGAACTGAACCAAGGTCCTCTTCAAGAGCAGGAGGTACTCTTAACCGTTGAGCCATCTCTCCAGCCGCTCTAACAGTATTTTTAATAGTCACTCAGCACCAGGAAAAATATACTTAAGTTTGGGGTAGTATTACTTTAGTGGTTTTTATTGCACTACTTCTTCTTATTCTGGACTCTCCTAGTTTTTAAATTGTGGGACTAAAACACCCTTTCACATATATTTTATAATCTGATTACAAATAGGAGAAAGATTTGAGCGATACCTACAATTATGCTGTAGACACTCATTAAATATAATCATTATTACTATTTTTTTCAAGAAAACTACCCAGGAATAATTTCCTTTTCATATTTTATATTTAAACGTCACTAATTCACAGTACTTAACTACTTAAATTGTTTGAGACATTTACTGTATTCCTTTCTCCTCCTCTTCTCTAGTCTTCTGTCATCTGTTCCTAAAGAATCTTTTTTTTTTCTCTCAAAACCATCTTTGTCTTTCAACGCCCCAACCTACCATACTTGATCAAGCTTCCACCATATTTCCCAAATATTTCCAAAGTCTTGTAGGCTACCTCTCTCTAATTATTTTTCCCTTAAATCTACTGGGCTTATTATCATCAGCTAAACTTCCTAAAACACTGATTTATAAAATCTCTCTGGCAAAATTTCAATTTCTTTTTTTTTTTTTTTTTTTTTTTAAAGTATAAAGTTCAAACTCCTTAAATTAAATCAGTGAAATTTCTAAAGAAAAATTATCAGGAATTATTGTTTTGGGTGATATTCCTGAATGCTTACAAATGCTCCATAGCCATTTCCAAACTAGATGTGATAACAGAAACACATCAAGGCAGGAATGTGTTTAGTATTCTTGTTTTAACAAAATGATGACCATACTGAGGTGAGGTGACAATAACACTCACCAGCGCCTGGCTCACATTCCCTCCAGTGGCCAGTGACTTGAAGTGGCTGCTGTTATACACCAACTGAACTTCTGAGATCTCCACTATTTCCAATTCCTCTTGTGTCTGCCGATCAATAACATGTAACTTCTCTACACTGTCTAAAAGCACAATTGTGCGTGAGTTTATCCACTGCAATTTAAGCACATAACAAAATAACAGTAAGGTTCAGTCCATACCATCATTAAAGATACAAAGAAGGTTTGGTCATTTAGTACAATTACATTGAGGATATTATCTATTTAATAACATAAATAGTAACACAAGCACATTAAGAACTACTCAGTGACAGCCCATGGAAACAGTACTGAGTTTTGACAGTGTTAAAATGATACTTTGGGCCAGATGTGGTGCCTCACGCCTTTAATCCCAGCACTGGGGAGGCAGGGGCAGGCGGATCCTCTATGAGTTTGAGGCCAGCCTGATCTACAGAGTGAGTTCCAGGCAGCTGGATTTACAGGGAGACCCTGTCTCAAAAAGACCAAAAAAAAAAAAAAAAAATGATACTTTGGTAGCATAAGAGATAACTAAAAACTGTAGATAACTAAGAACTTAGATAACCAAGAACTTAGATAACTAAGAACTGTAACAAATTACACGTCTGGGTTTTTACAAATTTTTTTAAAGGCATATTGGACAAATGACCTTAGTAGACTAACAAACTATATTTCAACTTTTTATATTAATGAAACAAAACAGCAAATTAAGCCTCACAAACCTAGCTTGTCAAAAGGTAATTCTTGGCACTGAAGTAATATATGTTCTAAAACAGAAGTTATTTGAAAAATATATTTCCTTCCAAACTTCCCTAAAAATTATGGGAGCATACTCTGTTTTTCCATTCATTGTATTATCTGAATTTCCTTTGAGAAGTAGTATTAAAAGTTTTTAAGTACTAACTTGGTAGTTTATTTTGTTAACTTTTTAGTTAACATATAAAATGAGTTTTATTCTAACATTTTCATACATGTATATCACTGTATTTTGCTTGTATTTCCACTTTATATTTAAAATTTTGACAAATTTCTTGTGTTACATATAAAATAATTTTTGTAGAAATATTTTTAGAAACAGCCCTTCTCCAAGAACTAAGTCTTAAAATCCCATCAATTTGGATTCAAAAGTAGTTAGAACAAAGCAATTCCTCTGTATTTTCTCTAAACTTGTGTTGATTTATTTTTATGATCTAGCCAGTGTTATTAAACACGAGCTAAAAATGGATTTTCTTCAGGCTGGAGAGACGGCTCAGCCATTAAAAAGAAGCAAATCCATTTTTTAAAGCATTTAAAAAAATTATTTGATGTGTATACTTTGCCTGTATGTATGTAAGCTCACCACATGTGTGCAATGGCTGCAGAGGCCAGAGAAGAGGGCATCAGATTCCCCTGGAACTGGAGTTACAAAAGGTTGTAATAACACCGTGCTGGATAGCTTCAGTTGTCAACTTGACACACCTGGGAGGAGGGAGCTTCAATTAGGGATTTCCTCTATCAGACTGGCCTGTAGGCATATCTGTAAGACATTTCTTCATTGAGTGATGGGGAAGGGCCCAGCCCATTTGGGTAGTGTCTTCCCTGGACAGGTGCTATAAGAAAGCAAGCTGAGCATGGACCAGGGGAGCAAGCCAGGAAAGGAAGTTCCTCTGTGGTCTGTGCTTCAGTTGCTGCCTCCAGGTTCCTGTCCTGAGTTCCTGCCCTGAACTGTAATCAGGATGTATAAGTCAAATAAATCTTTTCCTCCCCAAGCTGGTTTTAATTAGTGTTTTATCACAGCAATAGAAAGCAAAGTGGAGCAGGCATCATGTTGGTGCTCAAAATGTTGTGGATTTTGGTGCACTTCAGCTTTTGGATTTTCAGATTAGGGATGACGAACCTGTACTTCTAAATTAATAGTGTACAAGTGAGTTTAAAAGTGCAATATGAGAAAAAAAAAAGGTGCAATGTGGGCCAGGCACGGTGGTACACACCTTATCATCCTAGCAAATAGAAAGTTGAGGGAGGAGGAATGTTTGAGCCCAGAAGTTTCAGGCCAACCTGAGCAAAAGAGGAAAACTTGTGTGAAAGTAATGTGCACATAGGTTAATACATCATATATTATTTTTAAAATCTAACTACATCATAAGTAACCTGAAAATTATGTATTATTGATTTGAAGAAAAAAAAATACTTTTCTATAGTCTTTTTAATGGAAGAATGTGTATTACATTGTATTTAAAGATAGTTATCTAGGCTGGAGAGATGGCTCATCAGGTAAGAGCACTGGTTGTCCTTACAAGAAGATCCAGGTTTGAATCCCTGCACCTACATGGTGGCTAACAACCATTTATAACTCCAGTTCTAGGAGACCCAACACCCTCTTCTGACCGCCACGGGTATTTATTGCATGACAAGAGTTCACTTACATACATGTAAGCAATACACTCATACACATAAAAATTTTTTTAAATTATCTTCATATATATATACAATGCTTCACTGAATAGCAGATGTTAAAATGCTAAAACAAGTAATACTAAAAACCCAGAAATACATACTATTCTTAACCCACCACTGAAAAAGAAAACATAAGATTTGGTACAAAAGGAAGTCTCGTGTCTTAAACCAAGGTACCTCTCGGCATTGAGAAGGCAAGGAGAAAACTTGACAGTGTTTTCAGTCACAAGAAAAGAGTATAAAACACAGGCTGAATCCTTTAAGAGAAGTTCAAAAGTACAAACACATGTTCATACATACAGCAGGGCAATTGGTGACTGAAGAAACCTACCTAAGTCCTTCTGAGCCCAAACCCCCGCTTTCCTCTAATCAAGACATTCAAGGAAACTCAACTTGATCCTGTCAGTGCTCAGCAGGACATCAGGCCAAAAGGCAATAATTACATGGCATCATACCAAAGTCAGATTTTATTCAACATCACAGCACTTCATGCTGTATTAATATATGCCCTGAAGGTCCTGATACAGGACAGAAATCTTGGTAGCTTTTATACCATGGATTCAGAACATGAAATAAATGGGGACATTTAGTTTGAAGACTACTCACAGTAAAGTTGATAAGATCATAGTATAGATGAAGGTGCTTTTGCTTAGTGACATGAATTGCTCCTGATTCATCTCTCTTAACCTGATGATGAAATGAAAACAACCTAAATATCAAATATTGCTTGAGAGGAATTTTTAAATATTTAATTATACTCCATCTAGAGTGTGATTCCCAGCTGGTGTAGATAAACCAAAACATTGATAAATTATTATGTAAATGAAAAAAATAATTTGCTACATGATCTATGCCAAAATCCAAGGCATACATGGCTAGTGGTCTAGCTGTCAGTATTAGTAGGTGCTGTAATTTTCACTCTGTCATAACTCATAACATCAGTTATATTGAGCTGAATATAAAATAGGAATGATGACAAGGGATGATGAAGCCAAAGAAAAGTTCATTAAAAAACAAAAAGCCACTTGGAAGACTGAGAAGGAAGATCAGTTGAGACCAGCCTGGACAACATAATAAATGCCATTTCAAAGTAGAGGAAGAGGAGGAGAAAGAAAAGAGAAGAGAGGTATGGGAGGGGGAGAAAGAAGAGCTATCGTGACAAAACTAGGTTTTTCTGAACTATGATACTAATATATAAGTTCACACAGTCCAAGATTTCCCTAAAGAAACTCAAGTCAATATTTTACTTATATACGCATATGCTCTTTAATCCTCAATCATCCCTATAATGCTCCTTTTCTGTTTCTCCAATTTAGTAGAACACTGAAGAAGAAAGATAAACCACAAGATAGACATGGCCACCTGAAATTCAACATGCATTTGCTTCTACAACACACCCTACCCCAAAAGCAGTGTACTAGATATCTAAGTCACAATTCCTTTTTTGCCTCCTAGTCTCATCTCCCTCATTCAATACCTTAACAAAAACCTAAGATCACTTCATGTGGGCCCTTCATGTAATGCCCTCTTCATTTCACTGTATCATCCAGAGCCAAGTATTTAAGTGTAAGTTCCACAATTATAGTTATGTGACCAAGAGCAGTCACTTATTCTTTCTTAGTTTGCACATCTGCAAAATGAAAATAAGGCAGCACCAAGCTGTTTTTTATGTGATGCGTATGTTGAAAGTGTTTCATAAGCTAGAAAGATCAATGCCAACATTACCTAGTCCCATAAGATTTCCTAGAATACTGAAGAAAATCACTTCAT